AAGAAAATGTAGAATAGTGTATAAACAAGATGGAAAGCAACTATTCGGCAGGTATAAAACGTACCCAGAAAATATAATGTTGAGATACTAATATTTTGTATTTATTGTGATTTGTTTTATTTAAAAATATGTAGGCGTAGCTGGTATGAATGTTCTTTGCAATATAACCTTTCTTTTGCCATTTGACCTTTAATAGTCAAGATTAGATGTACTATGGTAGACTTTCATTGAAATTCTTTCTAGTAATGATATTAACATAAATTTGAAGCTGTACTGGTTTGAAAGTTAGCTAGATGAGTATGAGCTGGCAACTTTTCTTGTATAAGGCAACCATAATCGATTTTCAATGAATCAAACATCCGAGTATCCTGGGTCGTCGGTGTGTAACCAGGGTACACGGATGTGAGTAAAATCCAACATAAAATTACTAATCTTCCAAACTGAAAGGATACATACTGGTTTTCTGATCTTTCTGTTTATCCATGCTGTATGTTTTACTCAAAGATATTTTTCAGCCGCCATACTTCGTTATGGTGAATAATATAAATTGTCTGTTGGATCCAATAATGGTCACGTAATTCAAAAAGCATGTAAACCTGACGTTTGAATTGCAGAATATCGTTGAAATCGACGACTGAGACGCTTTCGGCCATCCTTACACCAACCGCCACCATAATCAGCAGTCACTATTCTTTTGAGTTTGTTTTAATAATTTTGAGTAACTGTTTTCTTTCATTCTTTAAAAAATGGCGTAGTTTAAAAAAATGAAGCATTAAATATAATTTTTTAAAAAATGATACTGAATGAAAATCTAGCACATTTCTTACGTACTATCTCAACAAAGTGTTAATCTCTTGGATAAATGGGTTGGTGAGGGTGTTATTTAAGCAAAGGATATTTATTTTGCCTTTCCTTTGAATCTGTAAGCCGTATTAAATCAATAATGGTGACCAAGGCCAACATCCATGCCTATATTGATCAGAGATGATTTGCTTGATCCGACCTACACAATAAATGGGATTGGAGTCATTCCTGTATGACTTATGCTTAAAGGATGACGACATAATTATAGTAATTAATTTGTATCATGTGAACTGCCAGGATGTTTATCACCACCTACATACTAATGTACACAGGTCAATCATGTGAGAATTTCTCCTAACATTATGTGTTTCAATGTATGCGCTTCAGTTATTATGCAGATATATAGGTCCTGAAAAAGTAGCTTGATAAATAAATAAATTAATATGGCGAATGTATTAAATCCATTCAAAACCTTTTATTTGAAGTAATTCAAGATAATCTAGTATCTGTGGGAGAATATGAACGCCAACATTTCTTTATAACATGACATGGCTTAAGATGCGTAATAAGTTTGTCATATATACAGTATACCGTATGTTCTAACATAAATCTTTTCAAAGGCAAACTGTGTAGATAGATATACCGTCGCATAATGTGCTTGCAGATCTGGATCTATTTTTTTTTTTTTGTTACGAGTAATCAGTTATCGTTATTTAATTCAGGTTCATTTCTTCTCAGCCATTTTTACCTTGTGAATGTGTCCGTTATGGAAAGGTGGTTGTTTTATAAAGGTTACATTAGAAGCAGTTTTAACTGTTAATTAGTGCAGTATTATATAATACATATTATGTAATCACACTAAGATTGCTTTTTTTAATCAATACTGTATGGTACACAAAATCAACTTATTCTAGGAGGATTTTTTTGTTACATTTTTCAGTATACACTGATAAAATTACAAATATTACAGCCTCGATCCTAACATTAAATTTTTTTGCTTCTTACGGTAATAACACTTTATTAAATATTACTTCTGATGTAAATGCAGCATAAACTTTAAATCATTGCAAGAAGGAAAAACAAACTACGTTTATATAATTATGTACAAATTTTTTCAGTACTTGGATGTTCTCAGACAAATAAAAATAATTAAGTTACTAACCATTTTGACACTGAATTATAAGTATGGCTCCAACAGCGGACTTTACTTGGATAATCATAAATCCAAGAGCAGCTCCATGGTAACAACAACAACAACGAACTAAAATAACAAACACGACGATAACCGTCTTAATTTTAACAAAAAGGATATAAAGAAAGAAAATGAAGTTTATTTTCTTACATGTCACGACACGCCGTGCAAGGAGATGTACATTATTCCTCCTACATTAATACTGGCCGCCATGTATAGCCTATCGTGTGCTACAAAATGGCGTTAGACCCCAGAGCAACATTATTCCCCTTGCAGGGTAGTGAATAGCATAATTGGTTGCTATGCCGTAAAACAAAATCGCACAGAAACCTGCTGTTTTTGTCTCAGAAAGCTATATATTCTTCAAACATTGGAGCAGGAAATTCACGCTTAAGGTCAACATCTCTGAATTTGATAGGATAGATATGGGGTTGAACCACGTTAGTAAAATTTATTAGATCAGGAGACGTTCAAACTTAAAAGATTATAATGTGTTATGGCGCTAGATGTTGTCTCTTTAAGACTTGCGGTACTAGTTCAGTACCCATAGTAAACCTGTGCAAACACCATGATATTAAAAATTCAATAACTTTAAATTTCTAATTGCTCGTGATCAATTCTATATTTATCAGTACAGGTGCATCCTGGATAATAGCTTTCGTGTAAAGAAAAAGTATACGAATCGGGACATTTATGGACCTACACGAGCTTGACACACGTGCTTTCAGTTCCGCACCAAAGGGTCGGGTGCTACTTTCCGTAATGAGTGTTCCAAACTCCAGACTTTTAAAGGACTCTGAAATCCCATCAATAAAACATAATATTTTTAAAGTTACAACAAGGTTTAGCTCTCAAAAAATAATTTTCACTAAAATCGAACTTTCATTACCAACTAATCCTGACTAGCCCCCCCCCCTCTCTCTCTCTCTCTCTCTCTCTCTCTCTCTCTCTCTCTCTCTCTCTCTCTCTCTCTATATATATATATATATATATATATATATATATATATATATATATATATATATATATACATACATACATACATACATACATACATACATACATACATACATACATACATACATACATACATACATACATACATACATACATACATACATAACCATTTCCAGACTGGTTCCGATTTTTTCATGGCATTAGTACCGTGTGTCCTTGAAAATGCATGGTCATCAGCGGACTTGGAGTTTGAGTTTTGCTCCGTATTCTGGAAATTCTTTTGAGCTAGAAACTCGCATTTAAACAAAGTAGTAACTGACGGCATTTATCGTCAGTTAAAATAAAGTTGGAATCACATAGTTTTCGATTATTTTTTTCTCGACTTTGGTCTCTAAACTAGACTGCAACAATTATATAATGCAGGTGCAACCTTATTTACATATATATTTGTGCCTGATATGGAGTTATTGGCTCCATATGTTTTGAGAATTCGGGGTCAGATCTGCGGTAATATTGTTGTATATTCCTTGTTCCGAAATAGTTCCATCTATCGTATAATATCTTGTTTAAGGCGGATTCATCTGCAAGCGACATAGATCTTAACCTACCGTCGCAATACGCCAGCAAATCAGAATGTTTTACTGAATAATCCAGACTAAAAGCAATGACTCCGATTACATCATATATATATATATATATATATATATATATATATATATATAGAGAGAGAGAGAGAGAGAGAGAGAGAGAGAGAGAGAGAGAGAGAGAGAGAGAGAGAGAGAGAGAGAGAGAGAGAGAGAGAGAGAGAGAGAGAGAGAGTAACCCCCCCCCTCCTCAACTTATTTGTGGCGGGTTTACTGGTTTTGGTTCGTATCTAGGAGTGACCTCCAACGATGAAATTTGCCCGGTTTTGAATAAAGCTACTACAAGTGGGAATTTATGAGTGGAATAAAGAAGTAATCTGAGCTAATACATAGAACAAATAATTCGAACCCCCGTTTCAAGTAAAGACAAAATTTAATAAAATTTCAAACAATAAAAATTTCCGCGAATAAACAATATAAAAATTATCGTTCAAAAGAAACACTACTTTCTTTACGTAATACTAATTAAGGAATTTCAAAATAACAATGACATTGTAAGACAAGCTGATTCTGTTTAAGATAGAATCCAAAATCATCATTTACCAGTCCGAGAATATCGAATAACTCTGTCTTGCATCAATGCATAACCTGTTGACTGATTTCGTCCCACAGGCATTCTTCGGTTCCGTTGTTTCAGTACGTCTTCCGTTCCACTTTCTCTCGTTCCAACAATTCAAGATGCTTTTTCTTTTGTTCCAAACTGTCCTTTTCCTTCCCACACTGTCTGGGTTGTAACTCTTTTCCAGACTATATCACCTTATAAAAATATAGACAAACAACAATCTTCCGTCGCATTACACGGAAATAATTAATTAGACTGACCTCTAGAGGTCAGAAATTAACTCTATCGACATTCAAACAGTAGAGATGGTTATTTCTTAGACTAGTGATCTGCGAATGGCCATTTACGCCACATGTGGCATTAACCCTTTAACTCATTCTCGTTACACGTAAATGAATGAAATATCTCCTATACTTCAAGGCTACCCTAGGGCATGATAGTCCTTTGTGAGATTCTGACACATCTTATGTTATGTCTGCAGTAGTCCTGACACTGATCAGTTGTATTGACTTTTTGAAAATTTAACCGTTTATGCTCACGTATGTCATTGTGCGACAACAGATTTGGATCTATGTCATTTGCATTTGGATCCAACACGCGAGCGTATACCGTAACTGATCAGTATGGTTTAGTTTGACTCGACTGCCAACTGGTTACGGGTTATTAGTTTTCTTCTGGTCTCTTTCCAAAATACAACTTTAGGCATTTGTCCCCGTTCTTGCGTTAAAGCTTAATCATGTTAGCATGGAAAATAAAAGAAAATAAAAGACTGAGCTTGTATATTAAATTGTCCATCAACATTCCTTACATCCAAGTATCCTTTTTTCCACTCACATGAACTGCTCCGGTGGCCTAGTGGTTAGAGCGTCCGCCAAGGATGCGGGAGGTCGTGGGTTCGGTTCCCGGTCGAGTCATACCAAAGGGTTACACAATTGGTACTAACAGCTGTCTGGCTTGGCGGAGGTTAGTGTTAGGTTAAGAGGTTAACATTAAGAGGTTAGTGTTAGGACTGGTCGACCTGGTGTCAGGATCATGTGACTGGGTGGGACATCATGCTACGTGTCTGCGGCATGATGACCCAGTGCTAGACATCACTATGAACTGCCACACTGCAGACATCGTAGCGATATGACTGACAAATTGTTAAAGCTACGTTAAAAATTATAATCACATCACATACACTCTCATGATTTTCATCATTATTGGCAAGGAAAAGGGACTAACATACAAAGTTACTACTTCACTGCGATTGATATTTTGCTTCCTAAATGACACGTATTTCTGTGCTTAAATAAAAACACAATTGATATGAGGAAATACTTTACGAATTATGTATTTATCAGGATTTTCATACAATTTCCGACAAATTGACCATTATTATTATTATTATTATTATTATTATTATTAGTAGTAGTAGTAGTAGTAGTAGTAGTAGTAGTAGTAGTAGTAGTAGTAGTAGTAGTAGTAGTAGTAGTAGTAGTTAGATGTGATTTATAAGTTGGTTGTTGTTCAGCGTTTTTCATGCATTAATAACGTTGACCTGTTTGACAATATTTTGATAATTTCTACTTCAAAAGAACCATTCTGCCAGTTTCAGCAGCCAGATTTGCTAGTGGGTATGCATGCATTTAGCAGCTGGCTGTTGTAGATTTTAGTTTTGGTTTTGGTTATTAGAAATGATGCTACTCTGCCATAATAGACAGCAACCATCGTTACATAGCTAAGCGTGGAATCTATCTATCTATCTATCTATCTATCTATCTATCTATCTATCTATCTATCTATCTATCTATCTATCTATCTGTCTGTCTGTCTGTCTGTCTGTCTGTCTGTCTGTGTGTGTCTGACAGAAAGTAAGCCCAACAAATAAGTAAATCAATAAGTAATTTATTTTCCTACAGCTTAAATACAAAATACAAATTCAACAGACTTAACATTTTAAATTAAATTCTATTTAATTCTAAATGTTCTTTGATAAGTCCAAAAATATATTATACCGAAGGAATTCCCATAAAGTTCACTGATATAATTTTCTTTCATTTCTTACAATTCTGAGATGACTTCATCGTTTTCTTACGATGGTCGCAAATCCAATGAAGAAGGTCCACGTATTGAAAGAACGTATGCGTTTGATGAGCGGAACATGGCTGATGTGAAATGCATATTTGATGAAGATGCTAGACACACGGGGGAAGATACTTTTATTATGACGGGCATGAAATCGTCAGCTGTTTTTAATATATCGAACAATCATATGAAGCTACGGAATTTGAGTGTAAGATTGATCCTGCATTTATTGACGGATGATCGAAAACCGATTGTAGTTGCAATCACCTAAGAAGTACTCGCCAAACACAAAAAGTTTGACCAGATACGTTCGAATGACATTGTCACTGGTAATACAATGTGGATTTTAAAAAAGAGAAACAGACTCTAAGGAAATAATAAAGTATAGATCGGAATACGAAGCAGAGACCATAAATCACTGGACGTGGTCGGACTGTCAAAAGAGTTTTAAATGCATTATTTTTCGATGCAAACGAAAGAACTAGATATCCATGTGCCTGTACCTAACTCTGACACTGGATATTTTTTTTTTGTGTGCCCTAAGTGTTCTCCAAAATTCTGGAACACTAACGAACCATACATCATGTACCCTAGGTATCCATCTAACCGATGGCAACGAACCAGCACATAAAGCCATCTTCTTGACAGACATTATAAAGGTCACACCCCGTACAGTTCCGAGTTAGCTTCAAACGATTTATGGCTGAATCTGTTTATTAAAGATTCTTAGAGTGCCAGACATGCAGTTTTCCAATGTGTGAACAACAACATAATGTGAATTTAAAGTGGCATTTAGTAATTGGATAAATGGACTGAGAAAGTGTTTAGAAGTGCAGCTAGAATAAGCTGATAAATCATCACCATTCCTATAATGATAGTGACTGGCGTTTTACGGGCTGATATCACCATTTCATTAAAACCTGCAAAAGTCTGCATACACATATCTGCACAGATCGGTGCATATGTTATACATTTACCGATATTTCTCGCAGCTGTTAAGCTACCGTCTGCTGAAGGATTCTTTTGGAGATATGTTGATACTATTTTCGGACAAAATCCTGTGTTTGGCAACTTGTAAATCCACGTGGAATAACACAACCAACTGTCCTGTTGCCATCTCGAATTCCGCGCTAGATATGGTTGTTACAAAATACTAGTATGTGTCTTAACTGTATGCAGGTATATTCCTATAGATTTGCATGTAGTAAAACTGCACATTTTTAATAAACTGGTGACATCAAACTCACTAATAGTTTGTCAGTATTAACACAGATATGGGGGTTGGATTCGTTGGACTAAATGCAGAGAACTTTTAATGGATGCACTATCGTACTGTTAACTAATTTTTACAAAAATCATTGTACGACGCAATAAAGTTAAGAATTTTTTAAATACGTATGCACGTGTCTGCGTGTCTGTCTGTCTATTTTAATTACATCATTGAGATTAGGAGGGTTCTGAATGAAAACATAATACAGGATCACGAGACAGATGGTGCATGAATATCCTTGTTATGTTTTAAATTATAAGCTCAACACGCAGGGCTTTAATAAAAGATGGGATAAGAGTGGGTGCCGTTACCGGTACTTAACGCAAACTAATGACAAGTTTAAAAATAACTCCATCTTCATGATATTTGAGTCTTATGTATGTATGTGCATGATGAGGCTAATGCTTGGACACGTATTACATATGCTGATCAAGTTTAAGACATAATTTCTAGACATTAAACATAATATGATGCTTAAAATTTATTTTACTGCTCTTGATTACCAAAACTGTTACGGTAATATCACATTATCTATATTGTGTAACATAATGAGACTGGGTTTTTATTGTTACAACCTGAGGAAACGCTTTTGCATATGTCACATGATAGTAGAATTAAAAGAAATTTGAGATTGGTTCGTTTCTCGTATAACCAAACAACAGCTGTTTAGCACATCACTGTGATGATTTCTGTATCAAAATAAAAATAACTACGGTTGAAAAAAATCCATTTTTGTTTTGGGCAAAAGTATTAAAATGTCCTATACCAGCTTTAAGGCTGAAATGAGTGAGTGCTTCAGTGATGAGCGAGAGTGCGCGTTGTTGTTGTTGTTGTTGTTGTTGTTGTTGTTGTTGTTGTTAGGCTTAACGCTATTTTTCAGCACTCCATAGGCTATACATGACGGCCAGTATTAATGGTGGAGGAAGAACCCGGGGAAAACCCTGAAAGAAGGCAGCGACACAAGAGAAGCTACTGGCAAGCATTTTCGTGTGCTGAAAAATGGCGTTAAGTCCAAGAAGAAGAACAACAACAAATCAATACTTTTGCTGAAACGATACACATATCGACACAAGAGAAGAAGAATCGATACAAAACTATACTGACGGTATGCATGTTATTTTAGTCTTCTGCAGTCATGAATAATTATTATTAGTTGCCTTGTTATTCTGTAAAATTATAATCAATCTAAAACATCATTTACAGTCACATGCACTCATGTTTATTAGCAAAACCGAAAAGATTATTTGAGAAACCGCCACTATTTTTCTTCACAAGTTAACACAAAGTGACATGGTTAGTAATTCGCCACCCCACCCCCATCCCCGGATAATTATCTTAACTCCGAAGTATGTTCAGCATATGCTATACATTCCAAACGTGTTCAGCACGTGTTTAATGATGTATTTTACTCATAATTTAATAACCACCTTTAAGCGAAGTCTCTACATTTGTTAGGTTAGTGCTAGGACTGGTCGACCTGGTGTCAGGATCATGTGACTGGGTGGGACATCATGCTACGTGTCTGCGGCATGATAGACATCACTATAAACTGCCACACTACAGACACCGTAGCGATACGACTGAAAAATTGTTAAAGCTACGTTAAAAATTATAATCACATCACATCCACTCTCATGATTTTCATCATTATTGGCAAGGAAAAGGGACTAACATACAAGGTTACTACTTCACTGAGATTGATATATTTAATTTTAAATTTACATTTTATCTTGACTCCTTTGGTCGATTTGAAAACTACTGCAACGGCTGAGCTAGGTCCTGATAATACTGCACTGGAGTACGGCACGGGGGGGGGGTGAGTATGCTTCTTACCAACTGACTAAGACGGGGTGATTGGAGTAAACTCAAACTTTTGATTTCTTTTCAACCATAACACAAGATGATTCATTTATTGAGAAACATTGAATAAAGTCAGTTCATAAACATGACAGTTTTGTTGTTTTGAGCACTAAGCCAGAATAATGTCATTGTCTTGAGGTACAGTATAGTATATGATAATTTCACACAAGGTCAGGGTACACATTAGCACTATACAGTACTATTAGTTCATTATATTATTAATTCTTTTGAGGAATGAAAATTATATAAGAGTTACCATATTTGGATTTAGTTGCAGTAAGAAATATAAAATCTGCAAGGAAAAACACTTGCTTGACTTTATACATCGACTATATGGCTGTCAAGTCGGTGAAGAAAACGCTCGCAATGATTTAGACACCTAGTAATTATAAAATAGAAACAGAAATAAATTGTGTTTTTATATATTGCTGGGAGTTATTAAGTATTGTTGAATTGAACTTAGAATGTCAAGTCCTCTTCTTGTAGCTATTGGAGTTTCATCTTGTAGTTTCCAGCCAAAGGTACCCAGCCGAGGTAGACCGCATGACAAGGCAGTCAACGTGTATGTGCCAAAGAAATAAAGAAGAGAAAAACCAAACTTGTATGCGATAATGTATACAAATGAAACATCGGGGTCTGTAAACTCATTCAGGATGTATCGTACAGTCTTAAACGGTTAACAGGAATTAATCATTAATCAAATTATCCAGAATACAC